TATATATATATACCTTGTTTTCAGCAACAAGAGCAGAAAAGCTGCAGAGTCCAGCTCATACTGTCTCTCTGCTGCCCCCTGCAGGAGAGAGTGTTCCAGTGGCGGAGCAGTTCGACAAAGAAAAAGCCAAAGCTGAAGTGCTGGCTCTGGACAGCACCCTCAACAATGATAAAACATCCCCCAAAACCCCACTCAGCACCATGCCTGGAGTCAAACTCACAGACGCAGAGATGGAGAAGTATGAGGCAGAGATGGCCAAGCTCTACAAAGAACTGGATGACAAGGTGACTCGTCTTTACACCTTTGCACCACCATGCCATGAAACATTCATTTACTGTCACTGATTACAAGAAATGTGGTTAATTTGGTAAAATAAAATAAATAAAGTGTTGTAAAGTGTTAAAGAATTGTGTGATTCAAGTCACAACTTTACCAACAGTAACAGACTTGTTTTTATTTTTCAGCCCAGAGATCTGGAGGATGATTTTAGTCCCACTGAAAATTTCTAAACGTCCACATTCCATGTTGATCTTATTCTATCAATCCTAAACAACTAGAGGCAAATAAAAACACACATCAAGCAAAAGCTTGAGACTTTAAAGCACGTGTCAAACTCAAACACAAATCAGGCCTTTTTTATCCGTCCTCAAAGTTAATGTTTGAGGACTTATTAAAACTGTTTGTGGTGTTAGAACTTTAGGCTGTTATAAACTGAACCCTTGTTCTGCTGTGTTGTGCTTCATGTCTTACTGTCCTCGTAGTTTATATTTTAGACAGCAGATGGCGGTGCCTGCTTGTGTTCAGTAAAGCTCCTAGCTTGTGAAAAGAAATTTGACATTTCTTCCTGTCTCTGTTTTTACTCTCATCACTACCTCTGTCCAGGATGATGAGATCAACCAGCAGTCTCAGCTGGTGGAGAAGTTGAAGCAGCAGATGCTGGACCAGGAGGAGGTGACATCTATCTTTGTTTCCTGTCTCTTCCTCTCCTGAAACTTTCTGTCTCTGTTCTCCTGTCAGCACAGACCCAATCATCTTAGCCTCCACTAAGAGGTATTAGGAGCATCACTGATTTGATTTATTTATTTAACAGGAAAAGATTATTAAAAATCAAGCCTCACTCAGCATAATTGCTGTTTTACAG